TAAACAACAACACTGATCTTTACACAGCGGAGTTTAGACGTCATGTCCCGCCTCCTGCTGCTCTACAGGCTCCGCCCCTCACCTGAATGTCCCCACATGTTCCTGTTGTTGTGATCGAGTTGGACAATCTGCTGCACACACTGACTACACAACATGACTACACAACATGACTACACAACAYGTCTACACAACATGWCTACACAACATGWCTACACAACATGACTACACAACAYGWCTACACAACATGACTACACAACATGACTACACAACATGTCAGGACAGTTCCTGTCTGAAGTTGTAGTTTAATCCAGGAAGTGATGTGACCGGATATGAAGCGACGCAGGAAAGACGTACATAGGAGAAAACACAGGCTCCACCTCTTTTATATTTTAGTTCTGAAGTTTAGAGCCTTTTCAAAAGAAGAGAAAACCCTTCAGACTCAGGTCACTGAGCTGCGGACGACTCCACGATGTGCAGTCGAAGGTTAGAGGTTAAAACAGATAAGAAAAGAAAACTGTGTTAATCCAACTGACACAGAATTTACATTTTATTCTCACGACTTGAGACACGACAGCAAACATTTCAGAACATGAGCCACATTTTCACTTTTCTGATGTTTTGTCGAAATGTAATTGGCTCGCTCAAAATGTCCGTTAATTTCAAGAGTAGTTCTTGATTTAATTGAGCAGCTGATTTTAATGTCAGCTGATTTCAGGCTGAAAATGTAATTCTAAGTGAAAGAAAGATGATTTCTCATGTTCAAAAGGTCGTCTGAGCTGTAAACGGTCACGAGAATAACAAACTGCTGTTTGGTCAAAACAATAAATCTTGAATTGTATTTTCATTGAATTGTGCAAAGAAGACATTTATTAAAAATAGTATTTAACAAATAAAAGGATTTAAGTTTTTCAAACTCAATTTGTTGTTTTGACAGCAGCAAAATGTAAATTCTGTTTGTGGGTGAAACTCCTTTTTAAAAAGCAAACACAAAGATGTTCTGGGGGATTCAGTGGAGGGAGGAGGGGATGAAAATACCTGCGGAACAGGACGGGTTTTCTTTACTCTCCCTGTCTGTTTCTCCTGCTGGACAGGAGCGAGGAGAGGAGGAGGAGGAAGGAGAAGTTAATGAGGGAGAGCCATTATTTTCAAAAACCCAAAAAACAAGCAGGGTCCAACTGGTTAAACCAAAGTGAGGGAAAAGATTTAAGAGCTTTGAAGGATTGATTATCGTTAAAAAAGTATCTCCAGGGACGAGTTTCACAGAAAATACTCAAACTGTCTGAATCTTTCAGAGAAAACAAAAGAAGAAAAGTTTGGGGACGAAATCAGAAGTTAAATCTCAGTTTAGATTATTATGAATGAATCCCATGAAAAGACCCAGACCAGCCAAGTGTTGTCCCTGACGTCCTAGAGACGTATTGTCTGATGTCTCACGCTGGTGAAGCAGAAGTTCAGACTGTTGAGACTCCACAGTCCAGCTAACAAACAGGAAGTCATGTATCAATAATAACGTCTCAGTGAATGTGTCCATGTCATGTTAGGCTGACATGTTGGTTTGAGTCTTTTCATGACGTTTGTCCACAAAAGACAAACATCAGCTGTGTTTGGTTTTTATTCCACTGAGACTGGAATCATGTTGCTCACATGTCAAACCTGTTGTGTCACGTGTTTTCTTCTCATGGACGATGAGAACTTAAAACATTGCTTCAACCACAGGTCACGCCTGAACAGTTTGTGGTTGATAACTTGTTGTTTACCTGCAGACCAGGACAGGGTCGTTTGGCTGGAGGAGACTGAGAATCCAGAGACGTGTCCTCTGCCTCTTTGGACAAGTGTTTCAGCATAATACACTTCTGCATTGGGAAACCCCTGCAGAGACAGAGACAGAGACAAGATGCTCATCAGCTCTTCAGCAGGAACATGTACAAATATATTCTTAACTTATTAATTATAATAAGCCCGACGATAACGATATGTGTCCATATGTTATGTTGCCACCAGGGGGCACACACAATCAAATGGTGTGATTGTCTCTGTGTGTGTGTGTGTATGTGTGTGTGTGTGTGTATGTGTGTGTGTGTGTGTG